CACAGCAGTATCCAAGTACGGCCAACCAATCTGCACAACCTCCAGCCCAGATCTACCACGCACCACCAAATGGTCACATGTATCAACCACCCGCAAACACTTATTACTCAGGAGCTCTAGCACCAGGGCAGTATGCTACAGTACCAGCACAGGGTCCGCTTCCCACAAGTACAAGCTACCTGACGCCTACTAAAAGTGCCTCTAGCCACTATAATACTTCCCCGAGCCTTCACAACGCCGCGCATCTGAGCTATTCAGCTTCAACGAGCCCAGGTCATCTCACGCCTGGCGTGTCGGCTCCCGCATACCAAGTGTTCGCTCAAAGCTACGGTGCGCCATACCAATCAGGTGCAGTAACTCCACTACGCGCTCCAGCATCTCCAAATCTACACCCGACAAACAGCACACCACAATATCGCTCTGCACCTCATCAAACCGCTCCCCAAATACCTGATATGAGCAGATTGAGCTTGAAAAGCGTCGACCCGCGGAAGGGAAAATATATCGAACATTGGGCTACCTGTGATGGATGCAACGCGGACCCTATCAAGGGCGAACGATGGCGATGCTTGGTCTGCAATGATTACGATCTCTGCGACGTATGCCGTAGTGCGAACATTCACAATCACCATCGATTCGAGAATATCCCGGTTGCCTCAGAAGCGCACACGAATGTTTGCTGTGACGGCTGTAAAGGCAAAGATGGATCCCGTCTCTTGGTAGGCCCTCGATACAAGTGCCAGAAGCACAAAGACGAGGACTGGTGTCAGCGCTGTATGGCAGCAGGCAAGGCATGCAGTGGCCCATTCGACGTGAATGCGCAGTCTGAACTTGGCTGGGAAATTGAGCGTAACCATATGCTACCCATGCCAGATCAATGGCTACCATATCTGAAACCTGCCATTGCAGTATACAACGTCGATCGATCTGGGAAGTCATTTACAATGTGGTATGACTGGCCAGATACCATGAAATGGTACGACAAGACCTACCGCGAACGTTGCAAGACGCCAGCCGATCCCAAATACACCATTACTTCCGAGCACAAGAAAGGCAAACTTAGTCGCGACGACAAACATACCTGGGCATTGTGCGACCAGTCCGACAAGAAACTCTACACGTATTTTGAACGCATCGACGGCAAGACAGGTCGGTCTTCTGAGAAAGCAATGACGGCATACAAAGGCGCCAGCACAACCCCAACATTCAAACAAGACAATACAAGCAACTCCCTCAGTTTTACAGATCCCGCTTCGGGAACGTTCTACCGCTGGATATCTAACCGGCCCATCAGCACTATCAACGGCGAGCGCTTCGATTTCCAGCGCAACGCGCTTTTCCGCACACACAACGGCGCCGAAGTTCTCGTCGCAGACTTTTCGTGGTACGACGGGCACTTGGAATGCGAAGACGCACTTACCATTCGCGACCTGAGTGTCTCACACGCGCTTGTCATCGCCTCTTTGACGCTCCTACATGGCCACCATTGGGCAATCATGCACGACGAGTTTAATCGGGATCCGGATGCGGTGAATAAGGCGCATGAATGTGCGCGCCTGACGGAGGTTGGAAAGAAGCAGTATTTCAAAATTAGTGAGGATCAGGGACAGGTGCAGATTGGGAAGAAGGGGAAGAGTGGGGTGGATTGGAAGGCGCTGAATCAGACGTTACATGGAGTGAACGGGGTGTTGGATGGTGTGAGTTCGACTGTTGCTGCGGATAGCGGGGGCGGTGGTGGGGGAGACGGAGGAGGCGGAGGAGGAGGTGGTGACGGAGGCGGTGGTGGAGGAGTCTGTTGAGTTGATGAGGAAGGGAATAGAAAGTAAGAGCTCTCTTTCATGAAGCACTTTGTATGTGACTGTCTCCCCGCTGGCAAGCGCGAAGTGTATTATGGTTGATCTACAACACCATCACCACGATGGCGTGAGACATTAGAGGTTCACTGCCTGAAGCCCTTGATAAACCATCTATATACTCAGCCTTGGAGCAAAAGTTTGCATCGGACATAGGTTTATAGTCTGTAAAGATAACTTCCAAAACGTCTCTGCTACCACTTCATATCATGATTTTCTCTTCCTCCAACCCTGCGCTCCACTTCTTCCTCTGATTGGACGGGACCTTTCCTGTTTTCCCATCTATGTTCGAAATAGATGCATGTGAAATCGAGTTGTTGAATTGATGGCGCAGTCTTGTCGATGCGAACGATTAAGAATCCTAGATCAATAACACCGTAGAATTCGTTTTTCAAGGCATGATATGTTCGGCCGCGCTCTTTTGCTATTCAGCCAGCTGTTTGTGATCAATAGCTCCTGGAGACCTTCGCACCTTTCTATGAGCTGAACATGATACTAATTAATTACTAAATACCTCTTAGCAACTACAAGGTCAAATCCTCAGTACAAGTTGAATATAGTCAGGCTTAGAAACTCAGATTTTGTTGTGACCCTTTAGGGCACACATTTCACGTGTATACGGCCGAATAGCAGAGCACACGGCCAAATATATGTGGCATTTTTCAGAGATGTGATACTAATTGGCGACACACGGGTCTGGATGGTCGTGGCAAGTATATGGTGCTATACTGTGGAGTGACCGAAGGAACGATTGAGGTAGTTGATCGTCAAACTTTCATCACAGAGGTCAAGATGTTGAGGGTGAGGGCGTTGAGGTGAAAGCACTGGATGGCGAGCCACAGCATCCAAATGCAACAACGGAGATGATTACGGATGTTGCCGAGTATGTCGCGGATGACTCGGTACAATGCGACTCAAATGCGGCTAAGTATCTCGAACAGCGCCGTTTCCGCATCCTCGCAGCCGTAGAGACTGCATCCGGTGAGATCGAAGCTTTTCTTGATGCGGCGCCCGAGCAATATGATGCGGAGGAGCTTCACATCGAATTCGAGAATTATCGCGACCAAGAACGTGTCCTTTCAGGTTGGGACCCTGCGCACATCGTCAAGCCGTCCGGACTTCCGAGCCAGGCCCTTCATCTCAAGCTCAATTACCCCACATTTCGTATGCAGCAGATAGAACACGGAGAGTCGGCGGACCACACGAACAATTCTACGAAGCTTCTCATGCTGAAAGGGCTCACCGCGGCTAATGCTTTCTGGTACGAGGCTTGTTTCCGCAGGCAAGCTCCGGCAAGAAGTCGGCACCAGGAGGTTGCGACAAGAGACTGGCCGGCAGAAGTCAAGAACTTACACACTGAGTTTTCACACCACTGCGAACTCATCGATAAGAAGGTTCTCACCTTGTTCGGGGCAAGCAACCGCAAAACTTTCAATGATCGGTACGCCGTCACCCAATTGAACATCCGGGCTAGTGACACAGAGCTTGAAACTTTTCCTTCGTCTTCTTCCAAATCACGGATGCCGGCCCCCAAGTCTGTCCCGTGAAGTGAACCCAATTCCAACACTCGGCTGTTTTTCATCAAACATGAAGTCCTCTCCATGCACATCTCCCAGCTCGACAATTCGCTCGTCAACCGTCCAGACCGCGCCCTCGAAACAAGTCTCAACAGGTCATTCACGTCCGAGTCACAAGTCGAATGGAGTCATCCAAATAGACATCCATCGCATGAAAACTATCTTCCGGCACTTTGCGCAGCCCAGCTATCGCACAGAAAATATCTGGTATGAGCGAAGTCATATTGCTGCTAGGGACTTGAGGCTCGGTCTTGTAATACTGCCCCTCAAAATTTGCCCGCGGGACACTCCTGAATGCCCTCGCGTGCGTGTAGAGTCTCACCGTAAATTTTATAACGCACTGAAGATCTTTTAGTTACTCCACGTGTAAGACATATGAAGCTTTGCTTGTGCTTGTAAATATTTACGCTGCATCCATATCAATATGTAGGTGTAGCAAATGGGCTGTCCCATCGGAGGTGCTAACGAGCAGTTTGTTCGGTGCATTGGGTGTCCAGGAACTTTGGTAAGACACAAGTGACGGAGAAGAAATAAAAGGTATGGGGTATATTCTCGATTAAGAACGCTACAACGGCATTGTTTAATGCACCGTTTGAGCTAAGAGCCATTGCGTACTGGTACCATGATTTGTAGAGTTTTTCATATGCAACGTAGCGCGCTTAATAATGTTGACGTAGGAAGATTATAGCCTATTAATACAATATAGCAAGCTCAGAACGACTTCGGGACATATTCTAGTGTACGCGCATTGCGTCTTGCGAGCTTTTGTCAACGCACTGAGTCTGAGAACGAGGGACGCCTGTAGGTGTACGCCGCTACATCCATGTGTAATAATCGTCTCCGTCATCAAAAAGTCTTTGAATCTCATGTTGTACTCGACAAAGGCGTCTCAGGACATGGTGACTTCGGCATGTCCCAAATTCTAGAGTGACCATTAGAGCTCTACAGCGATGCCAATATCCCATGAGCAACGCCCAAAATGCCAAATTTAAGGTCTTGCAAGGTAATTCCGGGTGATATCAGATCCTGTAAGCAACCATCTCGCTAGATGTGCTCTGCGAAGATATTCGGTTGTGGTGTTGTCCGGGCGGCATCTGTGGCGCTGTTATGCCCGCAGCCGAACACAGTCCAGCCTCGCAGCCACCCCATGGTTGTTTTGCCACCAGAATCACATAACTACGAGTTATTGCATTCGAATTGCATTTGACATCGTAATGAGTATTTTCTGACCATGAATTATGTGCACATACATGGCTTGGCCATGTTCTAGTCGGCGGGGCCATTGTTCACCAATCCGTACGCTGCAATGCTGCAGGTCTGCAATACCCGCGTATGCCTCTTAAAGCATGGCTGACCCGCTGCTTCTGGTTGGTCTCCGAAACGTGCGTCTACCCCACTCTCGTATGCGTCACCACCTAGGCACACACGGAACCGAATAATGGCCTAGTCCCACTTACGGCCCCCACTTACCCACACAATGTTATTTCGAATATGAGCAGCCCGCAGAGTTGGTCTATAATGTGACAATAGGTATATATATTATATTATAATGCAATCTTCCATCAAGTTATCCGGTATGGTGTATCGGCTAGCATCCGTCGCTTTCATGACTCCAGGGTTATCAGAGTGTCCGACGAGAGCCGGGTTCGACTCCCGGTACCGGAAGACATTGTTTTTGCGCTTCTTTTTGATTTGGTAGCGTCTTGGTGGCGTTGGGGTGTGGTGCGGGATGAAAATACGATCTGACCACCACATGCCGTGAACACGAACAACAAACTTCAACAATGATTACGCCGCATACTCGGTTGAATCTCTTATGTTTTTGGCTTTCTTTGTTGGGTGTTGGGTGTGCGCAGTGCCAGGCGATTGGCGCCGACCTTGGACGTCGCTTTGGCACCACTCGCGCATTGGCACCGGCAGTTATTATTATGGCATCATAGAATGCGACTCTCATATTTCGGCGATCATGGTAACCAAGGCTACCCCATGGGAATACTTTCAATAAGCATTTTCGCATGTCGGTCAGCCGAGCATTGCAAGTCATTGTTCATGAAGAGTACGTCTGGCTTGACTATCTCTTCACGGGACTATTAGCATATAAGATTAGAAATGAAACTCTCATATGTAGTGTCACTACTCCCAATCTCCAACGATCAATGGAGCCTGGCTAGCTTCGAGACATTTCCCGTTCAATGTTTTATAGCCTTGCACTCAGTCGAGTATAACTATCTTACTTTTCGCGCTAGCCTTTCTGTCCCTTTCCTGAGCTATGGCGTGAAGGAGACCATATATAAGTCAGCAGGTTGACTGCATTTCATCAGTCTCTACATCACGATCTTTTCTGCCGAGCCACGGTCCTCCCAACCATCAATAACTGATCGCCATGGTAAGAACAATAGCACCCTACATTGTACGTACACTGACAGGATCAGTCACCAAACAATCATGAACGGGCAACACTCGCCTTCCATGACGCCACAAAGCGGATGAGAGTAGGTTATACGATCATGGACGCAAGGAACGTGTGCGCTGAATACTGGATTTGCTTCGTCCGCGTCAACATCGGAGGGTCGATCGTTACATTCCTGGAACACTACTCAGGACGAAATACCTCGGACATCGTGAAGCTCCGGAATCTGGATTGGATAGTCGGATCAAGGCTCTCAGCAACACAACCGCCGAGGAGTTTCTTGAGGATACTCATGAGTTTTGGGAGGCGTACTTCGGTCCACCCAAGTTACAACAACCAGCAGCGCCTGTCCAGAGCGTAACTCATAGCCGCACGGAGCACGCTCCTCCAAATATGACGCGATCACATCAGCCCGCAAAAGATGTCGGCCTTCCAGACAACAGCGCGAAGAAGAGGAAGGCCGACGGACCTATTCCGATAGTTGACAATGATCGCAATAAGAAACCGAAGCAGGCTGAGGTCATGGGTCCAGCATCGAGATCGCAAGCTCTATTGGCAAAGAGACGTCGTCAGGAGCTACAGACCGAGCATGCTGGGACTGTCATTTCCCCTCAAAATTCAGTCAGCGAATATTGTGAAGAGTTTTTGGAAAATGAAGCCTTCTGGACCTTACGGGTTGAGCTAGATCAATGGCGCAGGGCGCGCGGGGACAAGCAGGACAAGCCTTGGATGCACAAAGAAGCCTACAAGGCGGCAGTCAAGAAGATATCTAGCCGGGGCCGATCCTAGCGGCGTGACCTACGATGACCTTCGGATCTGTTCGGTGTGGTTGAATCTTTGCGGTCATGGTTGGTGTGAGCAGAGCGGGCGCTGCCGCCGTTGACTTACGCGCGGCACACTATGCGTTGCGGTGGACCGGTGCTCAGCATACAAGTGAATCTTCATTCTTAGGTTGAGGTTTGGGCACATTTTTTCCCCTGCGACTTCTGCATTTCAAGGGAGAGGGTCGGAAGTGCTTCAAAAGTTCTTTGATTGGGTTCTCTTAGTTTTGGCGTTCAAGGCGATGGTCATCGTGGGCGGCACTATGGTGTGCATTCTGCGGCAGTCCTTCATGAGACTGCGAATCTTACCGTCCGGACTATGTCATTGACGTAGGCAGTCACATAAAAAATCAAAAGGGATTTCATTTTGTTTCGAAGTGTATGGTCTGGTTCGTCGAGGTCGAAGAAGGTGTGGTGTTCCGCAATGAGATTAAAGTCTCAGTCGGGAAGGCACGAAACGTGACCGCGCGACTTCCACGCGACGCGCCCCACCAACTCGCAACCATAACTCTGACTCTGAACCAACAACAGCCGTTGCACCGATGCGATGGCGGCTATCGCGCCCCAAACTTCTTCACAGAGGCCGCCGACCTCATCTGGGAGCGTCAAAGGACATGCGCCGCCTTCTGCTGCCCTCGAAGCTGTCGGCGCCCGGCCGCGGCGGCCCCAGCGACGACCCACCAAGCAAGCCTCATACGAGCTGTGCAACCACGCAAAGGCTTATCTAGAGGGCGGACAATGTAAGCGACACGTGACTCGCGAAGATACCCTCTGATCTCAACCTAGTCGCCAGTGGCTTCGACTTCCTTTACAGTCTCCTCGCCGTGGGAACCTCCATCTCGACCCCCGCCCAACCGTACATCGGCTTCCTCGCACCGCCCGCATACATCGCGCTTGCTGCGTCATTGATTGTATGGCCAAAGATAACTACCAAGACACGTTCAAAGGAAAGCAAGAAGGGGAGCGATGCGGCGCTACGATACCTGCGCTGCGTCCATACCACTATCGATGGCCCCGCGTACCCCACTATACGGAAAGCATTCTCGTTCCCCGAAGAACATACGCGAAGAAGGGCCCCAGCGCACCGTAGCGCGGCAGCAAGTCTATCACCCGAGCCCAGTGGTGACGTTGAGCGCCTATCAGGGGACGCCGCAAACGCTGACAACGTCTGGACACGAGCTGAAGATTTCTGGCAGCTTGTGGGATGGGCCTTCAACTGCTCAGTCAGGCACCAAAAGCGATGGCACCGCTGGCGCTTATGGTTACAAACAATCCTAGACTTCCTCGAGGCCGATTGGGACTTTTGTGTGAAGCGTAGCGAGGTCACAGAGGATAACGAGGCGATACTACAAGAGAGTCTCGCATGGCACTACATAATTGGTAGTGCAAGCTCTGCCAATCGAGGTGCTCGACGGAGGATGGTGAAGGCAATCTTAGCGAGAGCATCGCCCGAGTCGCTGAAGGACTTCCCAGAAATATGGAAGGACGAGACGGCTGGTCCACCACGGAAAACGAAGGATGACACCCATGTTGGCAAAGTCGATTTCGAGACTGGGGACATGGGAGACTATGATAGCGACGCAGAGATGCAGGATGCATCCCAGAACGTGGATGAGGAAAGCTCATCTTCAAGCACAGAAGAAGACGGGAGCATCGGTGGCGTTCGTGCTGCTGTAAAAGCTCTTGGTGGCATTGATGCTATAGACCTGCGGCAGCGGCTTATAGCCTTGGTAAGTCAAGCAGAGTACACTCCGTCACATGTACTAACATTTGTAAGCTCACGCAGGTTGCTGCAAATTTACCCACCGAATTTACGACATTGAGTGACCTGTTCGACAACATCCTCGAGGATTTCACCCAGCTACCTACGATAATGTTTGGTACCCTACTATCAACCTCGAGGTTGGCCGGTCTCTTTCAAGTCGCTTTCTGCAACAACCTCCTGCTTCCCATGGTTAGCGGGACTGTACCCGATTATTTCCGCCACGAGCCAATCCAGCAGCATTTCGAATATAATCTACTTACTCTCAAGGCTACCAGCCAAAGCTTTGCCACCAACGCGAAGATTTCGCTAATTCTCGAGCAAATGATGATGTATATGGTGAGCCAAGGCGCTTTCACTCCCACGGGTTCCCTAAGGACTGCTTTGGAGAGCGGCATACAGGCACGGCAAAGAGTGTATGGAACCGGGAAGGGCAGGAAGGGGAATGCTGAGGAAGAGGCTCAGGCCCAGGAATTACTAAAAGCGTGCTCAGAGCGAATGCTCGGTATGCTTGATCTTCTCGAGATGGCTGCAGGTAAAGCGCCGCAGCCATTGCAAATTGGCACGGACACTACTTTGCTGTCTTTTGGGTCTGGCTCGTCGCTCTCTCCAGCGCCCAATAGCGATGCTGAAGGAGAGGGCTAATTAGGACACCAATGCAAAATGACCTCTGTTGGAAATCCTTAGCCTTTCTTTTGCTCGCCCCTGATCTGAATGTTGCAATCACGCAGACTGTTTTCATCTTCACCCTCGACTTGTGTGCGATTGTAAGCAGCCAGGCACGCTTTTGACTTGGCTAGGACATGGCAAACGCAAACTTGCTGTCGCGCAGACTTTGAAACGTCGAAGGGAAGGCGAATTGCAAGCTGGCGCGCCCGTATAAATATCGCCCTCCCACAGTTCTCGGTCTTCTTTGTCAACAGCGAGTCAACGATCACTAGGTAATATTTACAAAGAACAATCGACCGAGTCACAAGCTTGACAAAGATACATCCAACAAACACTCACCACGTCGTCGAGACCGATCGGACTCCTGAGCCAGCCCAGCAACCTTCATCATGTCTTGGACCGGGTTTGGTCATCGTGGAGGGAGAGGAGGATTCCGCCCAGACCTACACAGGGGCCAACAAAATCTGGACGGCCAGAGCAACCAGAGCAACCAGGCACTACATCCCACTGATCGATCTGGCTCCACCACTCCTTGTCCGAGTGACTACAACGTATGCCTTATCGAAGACAAAAGTGTGCCAGCCCCTGCTTCTTCACCTCATCGTCTAACTCCGAGGTCTCCTCGCCCACCACCACCGACCAGCTCTATAGTGGGAAGGGCAAATGTCGAGCCTCGTCGCCAATTCTCAGTCACCAGCCAGAAGAGCCTCTCATACCACCCCGACGATCTCATCAACGGCATCCCAGAACACCAGAAATCCGTCGCAGATTTCAACTGGAACTCGCCCCACCAGTTTCCTTACCGCAACATCCCGTCCGCACTCCTTGCCGCGATGACAGAACCCAAGTCGCGCACACATGGCGAACCCGGCCCAAACTGGCGTGCGCTGCTCAGTTACTACTCAGGGCCAAGTGCGACCGAGGGATTGATGAATCTCCAAGATCTTTACCTCTACGTGACGCATGTCGGGATACCAAATGCAGTCATCGACAATCGTCGTCT